TGAAGTTTACTGAAGCCTTAAACCTTTGTTATATGAAACAGGCCCCTCAGCTTTTCTAGCCAAGTGTTTGACCCAAGGGCATTAGAGGGTCTCTCCCTTTTAAATCTGGGGTCTGTGAGGGGCTACAGAGCCACCCCAGACCCAATGTCTGTCAACACTGCGCATAATCAGGAGGAGTTATTTTAATTAGCTATGGGAAATTGTATGCATGTGCATGTATGTATAATAGAATCTATATCATGTGTAAACACACCAGGCAAGGTGTGCAATGTTGGTAAAACTATTCCCCTTCGCATGCAGCTATAATAAAGAAGTGTCTGCTTACCTGCATCACATTGGTGTCCATAAGTTCTTTTCATCTCGGCTTTTCAGTGACAGAAGCAGAAAAAGTCACAACTACAGTAAGTCATCTCATTCACCTACTCAAGGAAGGTATTTAAGGCTAAATAGGGTGAAATTCTCAACACTTAGTGAATGTTTACAGAATTCTTGTTAACTCTGAAGCCAGTACAATGTATTCAGTAGTAGACTTCAAGTTATACACAATCCATTAAACATTCTAGAGCACTAAAACTTCTCTTCAGTATGTTCTGCATTCCACCCATGCCCTTTCTTTAAACTTCCAGATGCCAAGAACAACATTGTGCAACATGAAAGCCTCATATAGGTATCCTTTGAAGATCCATATATAAAGAATCTTTCAAAATAAAAATTATTTTGAAATCTTACATTATGTTGATGCCTTCAGTATAGCTCAAGAACTCTAAAAAGCTGCTAGTCAACCAAGTTGGAAAAAGAATCACTTGGGGAAAAGGCAATTTACCAGATTATAAAAGCGAGATGCATTCTACACATGTACCAACAAACTTGCCTCTGGTCTGCAAGTGTGCACTATTTGCATAGTAATTTCTAGTTTGCCTCCATGCATTTTCCATTTATTCCTTACGGTGCCCACCTGGGTTTGTCCCAACCACTAATCTGCTTTTGTCTTGGGTAGACAAAACCATTCTTTCCTTAGGTTTGCTAATTTTCATACCAATTGTCAGTTGCTGCCAAATCACAATAATTTGGAAGTCAAGAACTATTGCTAATATAATAGCCAGAAAATATGTCTGTCAAATCCCTCAATATTTAGTGTCGAAGGAAGCTGGACAAACAGTATTTGCTATATTAACTGACAATATTAGTGCCTCAGGTTACTTAAGAGTCATAGTGTTCACATAATGCTGACATAGAAGAACAACAGCAAAAAGGTTAACAGCTTTAGTGAGTAGATAATTCTTAATCAAATTGGAGATTGTGTCTCACACTATCTTTACTCACATTCCTCAGAAGGGTATTTCATGACACTAAATATCTGGGGAAAAGGTTCCTTATGAAGCTGAAGGTCATTGAAATAATACATGTGGATTGAAGCAGTCACTATAGGATTAGTGGATATTTCAGGACAAATCTAAAGAACAGTCAAGTTTAGGAAAGCCATACAAAAACCCTTGTGGCTTGCCACTGAAGTTAAACAAAGCTTTACAGATGCAACTCAGCTGGATGACCTTCTACAACAGATGGATCACAAAGAGTGGAAATGCCAGCTGTATAAAACCTACGTGAAATATTTCATACAAAATACTCCAGATACTTTTCATTATTTATTTTTTATTTGAGACACACGTTGTAAAAAAGTTCACATGGAATAATAAAACCATTGGAGTGAGACCTTTTTTTAGGGGTTGGGTTTTTTTTGTCTATACATATCAACACAATCTATCAATGATTAGGTTTACAAGTCAACCACATGACAAGTTCACTTTTATCTGCAGGAGCTTTTCACATTACACCTTTATACCAGAGATAAAATGTGCTTAAACACACACAGTAGAACACTTCTATTTCAAAATTAAGCATTTTCTCAAGGACTATACTTTTTATTCTGAATTTAGTGGCTATATAGCATTAAAATAACTGTAAGTGAAGTTTTATTTGCAAAAATGTTTGTAAGGCCATAGGAATGCACTAAAATCCTTAAGTTCACCAAACCCAAGAAAAAGAAATAGAAATCCTGCTTTTGTGGAAGAAAGAAATACAAGTTTTATTTGTAAGAATGAGAGTGGCATAAACAGTTCAGTGAATGGAGGAGAAAAAAGACCTATTATCACCTACAAATCAATCCTTAAGAAGTTAAACATTGCAAAGTTTCAGTTACATTAATAGATAACCAAATAACAAATGCATTTTCACAGAACACATTTATGCATTTTACATATTATTAATGTACTTTCAAATCCTTATCCATTCACAATATTTTAATGTCATACATATATTAAAGACTCCTTTATTCACTTCTGAAAATGATCCACTTAACTCACGTGACTTCAGCAGATGAGTATGAGAAAGGTACTTACAATGGGAAATACTTTCTGTAAAAAGAACTACAGGTCTGAAAAGTCAATTAGCATTTTTGAGACTGTCCCCCCTAACAGAAAAGCGAGCTGTGTTAAGTTTCATGAGTGGTTTATGCTTTAGCAATAACAGAACTTCCAGACAGTAAGTAAATCAAATATTCTATTTACACCCAGCAAAAACTTCTTGTGCATGTTTTGCTGAGCACAGACAGCAAGCTAAAATTGCAAAGCACTACGAACAGTTTGGTTTTTGTTTGTGTGGTTTTGTTTTGTTTTGGTTTTTTTAAAAACCATTTAGAAAAATATTGGTCAAGATACAGTGCACAGACATGGGGCTGAGGGAAAGATTTCATAAAACTCAAGAGCATAAGCAGCATTTTTGTTTTATCCAAATCCACCAGAAAATATCTGCCTTTCTTGAAAGGTTAATGGCAATTTCTGGAACAAAACAGAAATACATTTGCTGCTTAATGAAAAACAATTGTATGTCTTTTGTTCTAATGGACATTAGAATACTAACTAGTTGACTGAGGTATAGTTAAGAGTCCTTCAAAATTTACAGTCTTGAGCAAAGTAGCAACAGAGAATGCACAGAACAATCATAGTGATATTAGAAATGCCTTTAGTACCCAGCATCGGATGCGTAGGCAGAACATACCATTTATCACCCTCTTGTCTAAAGGAAAATATACCTAAAGAAATTCCCAGTTAAGCATACAGCTGATTTGCATGCTAAGATACAGCACATTTTTCAACGTCTGACAAGGCAGACTGTACACAGAAATAGGTCTATACTGACCAAAAGTTAGCACACTGATAAAGTGCAGCCACTCAGCCATATAATACTGCTGGACAAGAGGGGTAGGAGCAAAACAACAAAGAAAGAGAGAAATCTGCATTTTACCTTATCCATAAGACCACATGAAATTAGAATTCTTCAGTTTCAGCAGGGGACAACAAAATTGCATTAAATTCTTCTACAAATAGAAAAAGATGAACTTCACATGAACATTATGCAAAGTGAAATATTTACTGCATCATTTCATCATGCATTAAGTGAATTCCCTATGGTCTTACCTCACATTTATGTACAGTTTAGCACAGCTAAATGTAAGAAAATAGCAAGTTTTTTTTCTCCCCACCCCACCCCCCACCCCATACAGAGCAGATACCCCAATTCGCTGCTGCTTCAAGAAGCACTTCATAGACTCTACTACTTGCAGGCTCTTTCCAAGGGAAGTTCATGGAGACTAATATTGAATGAAAATATAACCACACAGCGAAGACAGGAAAAACAGCACAAAGCATTCTGTAAACGGTGCCAAACACAGAACATGTCAGTTTTGGTTTGCAGACAACCCCTGAGATAAAAATCAAGTATTACGACACCAAATAAGTCAGAGGTAAATTACAGAAAATAAACAACATTCATAATTGGTGTCAAAACACTTTCTGTATAGAAGCACTTTTTTTAACCATACAGAAAACATAACTGCTTTAGCCTGTCCGAGAAAAACATCAAGGGTAGAGAACAGAGCAGTCAGGGTTGCTTTGCTTTTTCACTAAACCTTGCTGCCATGAAGATTTTTCTGTTTTAGTGCAGCAACAGCAGTTTATGAGATTCATCATTTAGATACAATAACTACTTCTATTAAAGTACTTGTGGGGACAAGTTGATAACCACTTAAAACTTTATGGATCCAGCTACTGATGTTAAACCTTTTAAAAATCAGAAGTCTTTAAATCTAACTCTCTGGTCCATTCACTTTCAAAATATTTACAACAGACCAGTAGATGACAAATTCAGTACCTGTCACCACAAAATAAAGCTGTTATCTGTGGTAACAACCAACTCACTGTTTACAACTCTGGACATGTAGTGAAGCAAAAGCAAGCACGTCAGACGCTAACTTTGACAACGACAGAACGCACCTATCACCAAATAACAAACGTGCTGGACGCAAACTTGTAGTTAAAGCTTACAATGGTCCAAGTTTGGCACATCAACAGAACTAAAGCACCTGTTTTAATTGCTCATAGAGGAGATCTTTCAGAAGACAATAAAAAAGTAGTAGAACAAAGACTAAGTTATACAATGCTCAGTTGAGTAAAAAAAGGCAACTACGTTTCAACTCTGCTTCTAACAGTCTAGGTCACTGGACCAGTTTTTGATAAAAAAAATAACTTCACTGCTTGAGCAGACCAAAGAGGGCTTCACACATTCAGCATTAACTGCCTGACTAATAGCGCATTACAGCCCTAACGTGACTGTTTCCTTAGTGACAGAACTCGATAAACTTGAGCAGCTGCACAGGAAGCTAAGTTTTTGGACACCTCTGTTGTCAAGGATCGATGCTTACAGACATTAACACACTTATCCTTACAATTACAGTAAAAATGGAAGTCACCTTTAGAAGCAGTCATTTCTGAACAAATGAATCCACAAAGAGGCTACTCAAAACTCATGCATTCAGCATCCACAAGCCACTTAAGTGATAGCGATGAGGCCAATTTGTGATGATGAGTTCAACTCCAGAGCGTTCTTCCTCATCAGAAACAAAAAAAGGTGCAGATAGTCTGAGCTAACAAAGGGAAGTGAAGTGAGGAAAGACGCTGTGTTTATTCAAATAAACAAAAGGTGCATCTGTGAATCAGACAGTGACTGGCAATTCAGAACACAACTTTGTGAAGTCTGGTAAAGAAAGAAAAGCAACATACTACATTCAGAATAGAAGCCATAGCTGAACAGATTTGTGCATCTAAGAGACAAAACTCATACAACTTGTTAGATGCCAATTGTTAGATTAATTCTCATTTAATTCTCATAGAGTGTCAACATCCATGCTGCAGTCATGTCCACAAGTATACAGCATAGAAAATAATGGGAGCGGGACTTAATTTCTTCCCTTGGCTCTTCTGTTTGAAAATAAATTTGTTTAAAAAGAGAAAGAAAAACCTGCACAAATCTGTTAAGAATCTTACTTACGAGTCAACCTGTGCAAATACAAATGTAAGATTGTGCTGTAACAGGCAGTAAGAGGCCAATATGGATGTGCAAAGTTAAAAGAAACATAGCAGCTTTCGCAACAGGCAATAAAACAGAAAGTAAAAAAGGAAAACAAGTTAACTTTTGCATTTGTGTCTCCACTTCATAGCTCCCATATCTGAGAAAGAAGAGCCTGACAGGTCAATAGGCTTAGTGAGCAAAATCCACTTGGTATTTTGTGTATCGCAGTCTACGTTCAATGGAGCTCTCAGCAGCAGCTTGGTGGTATTATTTCTGAGGCTTTGTGACCCTGTGCTTTCAGAGAAGCAGAAAAGGTTCTAAGTGTGCTGCAGTCTATCATTAGAAGTTCATCAAAGTAGCGTGCATCGAAAGAAGCTGCTCTTCTTAGATCGATTTTCTGTTATTTTTACTGGCCCACCTGCCCCTGATGAACTGTTGTCATTCTGAAAGAGAAAAGAGTATCAACATCATAAATTGCAGAAAAAAATAAGTCTAGCTTTCATAGTTCCCCCCCCGACTTCTTCCCCTTGCAAAGCAAGAACCAGGGCAGAGGTATGTTGCAACTTGAGCTTGTCAATTATCCAGACTCTGTTAATCACTCAGTAAAACTGCCTATTTTAAAAAGAAACATTTTTCCAACAATCCAGATCTAAAGTATTAGCTGAAGGAGCGACTACATAATTTGGTGTTGAATAAAGCAAGGATCATACTGTTACATTCCAAAAGAACACATCAGTTTCAGGGTGCCCAGTGTTAATGCAAAAGAAACAATTACACATGATGTGTAATAGTGTGATAAACCACTGTCTGCTCAAATTTGATCTAGCACTCACTGTAACCCCGCCAGGAGTTTTCTTGGTAGGCCTACTACTCAGCCAACTATTATAGCAACCATTTCAACAAATCTACTTTGTATGCCCATTGAAAATACAAACCATTTTTCTGTTGAGCTTCGTCATAATGTCCCGTGCAAGTGTGAAAAATGCCTGATGAGGAGTGGAAATAATAAAAAACAATAAATAGTTAGTCACAAGACATATTAAAGACAAGACAGATCCAAATCTGCCAGACACACTAACAATACAATATTCTGTAGGCCACTGCACTTTGAGTTGCAAGGCACTCTATGTACAATAGTTGTTTATTTAAAACTGCAATAAGCATGCTTTAGAAGAAAAAACTATTTTTAGTCTCCATCCCTCCAATCTTTGAAGCAAGCGAACAGACTTTCCCATCGCATACCTCTTGGGGAAAAAAAGAATATCTGCTGAGAAGGCTGCGTACATGAGTTTCTGGTGGGTTGTATTTTGGTGGGGGTTTTTTTGTTGTTGGTTTTTTGTTTGTTTGTGGGGGTTTTTTTGCTAAACTACTGTGCATCACAAGTAGAAACCCACACAGAGGTTTGAGTATGGCATGCCTGGGACTTCGCATTAAGGTTAGCTTGCTTTCTGTCCTCCAAAAATGTTGCTCCTGGGCTACCTATAATGTTATTTATACCTTCAACATTCCTGCTTAACAACAACAACAACAAAAAGTCACTCTGGCAAATGTCATCATCTCAGACTTCAATGTATGAAAAAGCAAAGAAACTTCTGTAGCAAAAATTCTGCAATTCTCCAGAAGCAGGGAAGAGCAAGATTTAGGCTATCTGGAGATATCAACAATCCAAGGACAGTTCCAGGATGTAAAAATGTGCAAAAATTTCCCATCTCATTGTTTTTGGAATATATCCAAAGACAGACACTCATTTAATGTAAATAAATCACAACAAATAAATTAAATTAAGTCACTTTTGATCACAAGAATATCACGATTGTGTAATTTCTCACAATTTAAGCATTTGGTGGAAAAAAAGACTACAACGTTACTTGCTGAATGCCTATACTACATGCACTTTTTAATGTGTGCTTGACTATTCATGTGACAATTAAAAAAAAAATTCAGATAGCAAAGTCGTTTGGAGTAAGCACAAACTAATGTTGTACATTTCATGACCTTCAGGAGATAAAATGAAACTGTAGGGCATGTCATGAAAGAGCAAGTCAACCATTTGGATGAACTAATGGAGAAGACAGGTACTTTTTATTAGGAGACTATTGCTATCCACCATTGGTATCAGCTGCCAATGTTCACACTTCCATTGCCTGCTGTAAGAATCATAAAGACACTGTGAAATTCAGGCCAAACGCTGTTCCAGATGCAGCACAATGCAAATAAGTCCTTTCTAACTATATTGTATAACAATCATCCTGCAATCAGAAAAAAAAATACAAACCAACGCTTGGCTGACACGGCATCAGTCATGTTATTTCAAATAACAGTCTCTTTAGTTTCTAATTAATTTGTTACCTGCATGATCTGAATTAAGTACCTCTTTGGAGGACTTTTCAAAAGTATCCCATCAGTACACATGGAAAGGCTCTTAGATTACTAGGTACAGGAACAACATTTAAGAACAAGTCTCCCTTATCTGAATTAATGAACCTTAATGTAACTGTCTTTTGATGCCTTATTATTCTCTTGTCCGTGCTTTACAAAAATACCCTCCTCTCTTCCTCCCTGAGATGACAAAAGTGATTTATGGTAAAAACAGACTGGAGTCGAGCCACTCTTCCTTCCGATTCTATTTCCTTACGCACTCATAAATAGGGATCTTGTGCTTTTAGCACAAAATTTATTTGCAGGAAAACAGATTGCAAGTTTATGGATAAAGTATTATAAGCCTTCTTCCTCTAACATCAGCTTCTGACAGCCTACACTGATGTTCCAGGTTAACATACAAATCTTCAGTCTCATCTGCAGAGCACATATTTAGGAGTAAGGCTGAAGGCTCCTTGACACAGTAGCTTATTATTCTGAAAGCAGAAACACTTGATTCAAATTTCCTGCACAAAGCATTGTTCTAAAATTACACCTATTCCCTGTCCAACACACTTGCAGTTTAAGTAGCAAGGCACAGAAGACCAAAGCAACCGTTTGATACAATAGAAGTAAACCACTTTTAACATCCATTTTAAAAATTATTCCAGACATTACCAGGAACCAAGATAAGCTGAATTTTACAGTAGCTCTTCTAAATAACAAGATTGGTGACTCAAGAACACAGTTGACACTTCAGGTTCCTGATCAGGTCAGAAAGCCCAGCAGATTATGAAACATGCCTTCATAGTAGTAGTTCACAAAGCACACCTAAGCATAACACCCATCTCTTACCTCTTCCACATTTATGCTGGATTTTGCACTTGTCTCCAAAAATTTGATGCCATAATCAATTGCTAACTGGAAGAGAGGTTAAAGTTATTCAGTGTTTTGGAAGTTCCTTTATAAAAGGAATGTTTCACACAGGTTCATAATAGAATAGTTGCTATATGCTGCAGCAAGAACAAACCCAAACAAGGTTCATTTCTGCTTTTTTCTGGCAAAAAACATTAAAGTTATGGGACAATTAGACAAAATATTGGAACAGGCTACACTCTTATATATAAATTCAAAACAAAGAAAGAGATTAATTGCTCACAGAAAAACTTATTGAGGACCTAAAAGAACATTAAGATAGAATCTTCACTGATACAGAATTATGGACCAGACAACTCTGTATCATCACCTCATAAGTTGTGTTACTAGCAACTACACTACTTTAACTGCGTACATGATAGATTATACAGTATTCTTGCTTGTTTGTTTGTTCTGCAGAACAGCTGATTACTTAAGCTTTAATAACAGTACTTATAACAACAGTAAGTTAACACCATGGTGAACTGAGTACAAGATGATCAAACTATACACAAAGCTTTATACTGAGATTTTGAATACTTCATGCTATAAACAAAGGCCAATTATTTGGGTTATTTACAGGATCTTCTTCTCAATACAGCAGCACCAGTAAGTTTATTCAAACCTGAAGGCAGTCAAGTGCTATTTAAAAAACAAAACATCAAAACCTGGCACCCTATAATATAAAAAAGTTTCTGAAACAAGAGGCTTGAGTATCTCTCGTATGCCTAGAACATACTAAACAGCCAGCAGCCAAAATCCAAAGAAAAGTAGGCTTTTAAATAAGGTAAGTCACCTAATCTTACCTTCTCCCCTTTTTCTTTTGAGACTTGTCTTTTTTCATTCATGTCACATTTGTTACCCAGGATCATTCTCTCCACATCTGAAGAGGCATGCTGAAAGAAGAAAAAGTAATCTCTCAGAAACAAAATACATCATTATTTAAAAGAAACTTCTGTATCAAACTCATCCACCAATGAATATTTGATTTTTAAATAGTTACCTAATGTGAAGGCATTACTGAGAAAGAGTGACTTTTGAAACAGGCAATTTAATATTTAAATATTCAAACAGGCTGGAATAAATACTCCTAGATTAAATTTGCATAAGTATTACTACAGATCAAACAGTACCACGAGCTCTGTACCAGGCTGCGCACATGCACAGGCATTTGGCTATTCTGAAAATGCAATGGTAGACACTGTACCTCAAAGTGGTGCATGGACGTCTCTGCTATTTGGTTGAAGTATAATTATAAAATATATTTGCATTTTTAAAATAGATTATTTAAAAGACTAAGTAATAATCACTTCAGCAAGAGAACTTCAACAAAAGAACTTTTCTAGCCCAGTCAGTACTGGATCAAATTGGTCACCAATACAGACATTTTGATTAAGAGCCAAAGAACAATACTAAAGAAAAGCCCAAAGATTTTATGTTTAAGGAAAAAAGAAATTAAAAAATTTCTGTTACCTAACTACAGCTTCACTAAAATTAAGGTTTCTCCTCTAACTTCATAATGATCTAGCCCTACTTGACAGTATGTCCCACTAATAATTTACGGTAGGTTAGCAGGAAGGAAGCTCACCGAAGACCAAGTGAAAAGGTCAAAAATCTCTAATCTGACAAACACCAAACAAAGTAACGACTGAAATTAAACAGATCTGTCATAATCTCAGTGAAAGGGAGACATCCTAAGATCTTGCTCCTTCCCATTCCTTAAATGCACCCAAAAGCATAAAAAACCAAAAATCAAGTCATATAGCAAGAACAGTTTTGAAACACTTTATGCTTATTTTTTTAAACTTATGTTTTCTACCTTCTATCCATAGATGAACGAGATAATATTATCCCCATTAATAACCACTGCTGCATTCACTGCACAGTCTTACTTGGCCATATATGTTTGCTATGATAATTAAAGTAAGTAAATCAGAAGATGAAATGAGCAAGAAGTATTTTAAAAAGCACCTACCTCCTCTATGTTTCTTATCCAGTTTTTTATGTTGTCAAAAGACTTTTCATTTGTGATGTCGTATACCAGCATGATTCCCTGAATAAAATTAAAAAAATCTGTATAAGCCAGTACTATTGGTTGACTTTTGATGTATGCTGCTGGTTTGATTACACTTGCAAGAAATTAAACATACAACTTGCACATCTAAAATCCTTTCTCAAAGCATGCCATTGCTGAGAATTTACTCAAAATGTTACTATTTAACACCTTTTGCCACTGTTAGAGGTCAAACACACCACCTGTATGAAGTTTTAAGTAACTAGCCTACAGTGAGGAAAGTTTAGAAATTCTACTACAACAGCAACCAGGACTCTATCCTTAAAGGCAAGTTTAGAAGCAGCAGCTTTAAGCAGTCAAGCATGACAAACCTGAGAGATCCAGCTTGCTGGGGCCTGTGGATACTTACAGCAAAGCTGACACTAGATGTTGTCCCAGAAGCTTTAGCTCTTTCAGTTACGTACGTATACTAGCGTGGGCTCTCAACAATTAGCAAAGCATGGGAAACCACGCAACAGCTGCATTAAGGACAGATTGCCAGGTTCACCTCCATTCCTTATTGCCTTTCCAGTCATTCCTCACAGGACAAAGAAAAGTCCTTGGCCATGGACTGGGAGGTGGGGAGAAGACCACGTCACTACCAAAAACTTTGTAAAGTACTAGAAAGTTCTAACAAAGAGCCACAACCATGACTATTTCTCCCCATCTGTATTCCCTAACAGTGGAGTTATCTGGACCTAAAGCCAGCCTACAGATGGAATGGATCTGTTCATACAAAGTGGTAAGTGGTGTCCCAACATAAAGTATGCCAAATCATAGCATTAAGAACCATTACAAGCAGATGTACCACAAGTGTGCAGGCTCTAAGTCAGTTATTTGACATCAAGTCATTCTGAATAGAGGAAAAAGGAACAGTAGCTGATTCTATTTCTAACCCAGATTTCACATTCTCTACTGGCTAAAGGAAAAGCAGTTCAGTGAAATACACTCTGAATATTAAAATAATTTATTACTTATTTTTCAAACATATAAAATGTTTAAAGGGGTTGACTGCATTAAACAAACTTTCCTGAGTAAAGCTCGGTTGGCAACTTAGCTTCTTATCATATACTGCAAAAATTTTAATTATATTAAGAAAGAAAATAGAGCTTGAAGTTTCATCACAAAAACAAGCCTAGACAAAGTACCAGCAGGTTTGAAAAACAAAAGCAAAAAAAATCCCCAACCAAACCCCAAACTTTATTCTCCACATTCTCAAGCCATAATTATTCAATCCTCTACTTGAAGACTTACATAATATAACATTAAGAACAGCAAACCAGTTACACTAGTTGTGCCTAACTTTTCTGAAGCGAGAGCACTTACCATGGCTCCTCTGTAGTAAGCTGTTGTGATAGTGCGGAACCTCTCCTGGCCTGCTGTGTCCCTAAAATTCAATGAAAAAAAGGGCTTGTTGGAGGTGATCTTTCCACTCTTCTCTACTCAGAGATGCCTTTTCAAACAGAATAACAATTTACTGAAACTCAGTAATTAGGAAAAAAATACCATTTAGAAGCCATTTGCACAAGTTTCTTCAGCCCTCAAGATCTTCCTTGCTTGCAAGGTATCCTACTTGTATCAATGGTTATATGGCACACAAGCATTTAAATTTTCAGGCAAGCAATAAAACAGCACTACACAGCCTTCCCTACAATAATTCTAAAAGGCAGCTCTGATGCATCTGACAAAAATTAAAACATGCAGCAGTAAAATATTTCAGGATACTGCATTTTCAGGTACATTTAGCTATTAAAATTAGCCACTATACCTTAGGGTACTGATATTTTATCTTAGATTACTTCAAAGCCATATCTGTCTGTGAGTGAACAAGAGGACCAAAGTGTTTGGCCACTAGGCACACCTAGTGGAAGCTGAACCCCAAACCTTACAAAAACCAGGTTTTTACATTACAGACAGAAAATTGGTACCATCCAATGGTTTAGCGGGTAGACAGCAACGGTTGGACATGATGATCTCAGAGGTCTTTTCCAACCGAGCGATTCTGTGTGATCCACTTCTGGCACTTCACTTCCTTTGTCATAAGGATTCTGGCTTGCATGCAAGTATCACAACTGCCTTTTGTAGAACTTGAGAAATCTGCAAGAGCCCTAGATTCACCAGTAGCATTTAAAGATCTTGTCATGTGTAATAACGCTACTCCAAAACCACTCATCTGCTCCTACCAGGAGTCAGTTTCTACTGACCCACCATGCGAGCAATGGGAGCATTATCCCTCACCTGTATCTCTTAAGAGTACAACTAGGTATCAAAGTATCAGAGGAGATTACATTTTATTAGGGTGCCTATTTCAGTTTACAGCTATGGAGTTAATATTTCTCTTCCACATGGAAGAGCTAAAAGCACATTGAAGAAGACAGCTTTTGACAAAATGGGAAGTTGCTGTAACGTTTGCATGTGAATGGGCTATTTCCTGTGCTACTGAAGCAGAACCACTCCAAGAGCGAGCTGGAAGAAAGCATAAACGTTATGGACAGTCAATTAATAAAATACTGGATTATATAATTCTGGTACACCCAGGCTCAAAAGCTATGAAGTATTCCTGCTCAAAGATTAATTCAATACTCACTGAAAACTTAAATTACTTTGGAATACTTACCATATTTGTAGCTTGATTTTCTTTCCGTCTAATTCTATTGTTCTGATCTTAAAGTCGATTCCTGCCAGAGAAAGAGATACTCTAAGTTTTGCAATAAATGAAAAGGAAGTGTTCGGTTTCCTTCTGACAATCTGGCAAGAGCAAACTTAGGCAAAAGAATTATTCTGAAGCTGTCATTTCTTCTAAACACTAGGAAGTGCTGAGGACACACAAAGGTTTTCAGTTGCATCCAAACTGCCAAGGATAAACTATTCTGCACTACGAAAATAGACCAAACTCAGACTCACAACTAGAGTAATTCTCCCCTTCATAATCTTGAATAAATCTCAAAATTCCTCCATTTTACACCAGTAAGGTCACTAGTTTGAATGTACATTTTTCACAATTTGTGACTAGTCTCTGCAGTTCAAGTCAATTCCTTAGAACCTCTGCTGGCTCTGACGAAAAAATACATACTATCACCCCTTAGCTCCTTTTCAAAACTGGCAAATACTTTTGAAAACTCATGTTTAATGCAATCTACTCAGACTTTGCAGTAAATGGTAAAGCATCACAGGAGATAAAAGCCATACAGGTAGTTACTGAAGGTAGCTGAAGTAGCTTACACATGGGACTTTTTCAAGAACAACAGTTTAGGAGTAACTTAAGATTTTCTAGGAAGCTCCACATGGGATCAAGAAAACAATTCTCTTCTTCCCCCCCCTCGACTTTCACTTGGTGCTTGTCAGTTCTAAGACTGATTTTTAAGACAGATTTTAAGCCATGGATGAAGAAAAATAAAAAAATCAGAAGGGCTTAATAATGTCTTTTAACGTTTAGAGGTACGAAATAGATCTATGAATCAAAGCCAAGACTTCCAAACAGACTAGCTTTTACCCCAAACTTATTTAACTTTCATGTCTCTAAACCTACACTATAGCATTGCTCCAATTGAGACTGGCAAAGTCCCACAACGTGACTACCAGATTTCTGAATCCCAGGACAGCCTCTCCTGTACCCTCCCTGATTAATCTGTTTTGAAACTCATGACCTAATTTTTTTCTTCACTGAATTTTAAATAGTTACTTGGTATTTAGTTGTAGTTTGTAAAAGATTTTAAGGGGCAGGGTAGGTTATTTTATTTATTTAATTTCTTCTTTCCTCAGATTTAATTCAAGTGACAATTATCAAGAGCATCTTTAGTGGGAAAATGCTGTTTCTAGCTTTAAGAACTCATCCATTGCTTAAACAGGAAGCTACAGGATTTTTTAACATACTTCAGTAACATCTGAATATGAAATATACACATTCATTAACTACTTCAACTTTCATTCTTCTCACATGCGATATTAATATTTTAATATACTGAAAATAGCAAGTTTCAGCCACTTAATCTTCATGTGCTATGGATACATAGTTTAGCCCATAAGTTGTAATACAAATTATGAGCAGAAATACCACATCAGCACTTTTAACAGCCTATGAAATTAATGGCATTAATTTAAAATGCTATGACTACTGCTACAATTGCAGTTTCCCAAGATTCACGAGTAGATTTACAGACAGAAAGATACTTTCATTTATTTGCATTCTTCTACAAACAACATAAGAATGATTTTCACTTATTAAAAAAATACTTATTAAGTAACAGACGCTTGGCAAAGGTTTCCATTTTATATTTGACAGGATTTGGTGTCTCCTTGGTTGTAAACATTTTTCTCCTAACTAGGAGCAATACCTGCTGAAATAATAAGTAATTGTATTCAGGTTTAATTACTTAGCTCTGAATAGATTTTATTTTGACGTCAAAGGTTATAAAGCACAAATAGAGATTTTTCTGGAAAGGGTATTGCATCACCAACAGCAAATCAAATCAGTTCCAAAAGTTTCTTTGTGTCTAGGCCTGAAGTCGTAGAATTAAGTATAAAAACTATCAGGAAAACTAGGCTCAGAGACCACTGTGGGTTAAAGAGAATTCTGTATGTACTGTCACCTGCTGAAGCTAAGACACATCAGCACAGAGCTGCAAGCTCACGCTGCAGCTGGGTACCTGTGCACACCAAGCCCAGACTGGCTTCTCATGGTGAGTCATTTCCCTCGCAGCACCAGAATGATTTATACAACCATTTCTTTGCTCATTTCTAAAACTCGGATCTGCACCAAAAATATCTTCTTGGAACTTAAGATTTCTAGTAGAAACTTCACCAAGACTCTCAAATAGAGATGAATTTCAAAGCTAAAAGAAGACTATATAGGAAGGCCATAAATGTATCTGTAATGACACTAAGAAGTTTAACAAATGCAACGGCAACTTTTTAGAGGCTGAAATGAACTAGAAACTGGTGTTTCTTTTGTTCTTTCACTTCAGTAACAGGAAGTGGTGAGCTGCAAACATTTGTGGAGCAAGCCTGGTGACATGCGTTACCACTTCCTGCCCAGTACACTTGCATGGCTAACTACGAGCAATGCTTTGCTTACAGCTGAATTTAAATTACGCCATGTAAAACACTCCCATGACTGTAGCATTTCAAAAGTAATCATTGACAGAAAGTTTCCTTTATCAGTGAATTCTTATTTCACGCAGTCACACACTGGGATACAAAAGTTTGAAAAGATACTTGAGTCTAATAAAAAGAGCTATTTGCAAATCAGAAAGTTTGACTGCAAACAACCACACGGCTTTCAGAGTTTTAAAAAGCAATGTGCAATGCTGTTCTCTCCAGCAGGGAGAAAAAGCCCAGAAATGTTTGGATGTCCATCTGAAGTTATGTTTTAGAAGCTTTTAAAAAACACAGACGCAGAATAATTCTTAGAATGCAAAGGTTAACAGGATAATTACTTTTAACTGCTAAAGCAGAGTTGCCACACAGAAGTCTGACACACTGCTGTCCACGTAGCAAGTCAGTGCGTATTAGATACGGATACAAGAGCATCTGTTGCAGGAATTACAAACCTGCAGTCTGCAAGAATGAAGTCTAAGTTGAGACCCAAAGCTGTCCACGTAGCAAGTCAGTGCGTATTAGATATGGATACAAGAGCATCTGTTGCAGGAATCACAAGCCTGCAGTCTGCAAGGATGAAGTCTAAGTTGAGACCCAAAGTGTACATTGGTAAGGACTGTAACTGCTTGCATTTCCCTTGCAGCATGGGGTAAAAGCAGCTGAGGGCTTACTGTTCTTCAAAACTCTTCACAGATCCTTGCTCACAACAGGCCAGGGATGCATCCTCTCTCCTCATTTTATTGAGGGTGTTTTCTCCCATGGCTTCCAATACAACTCTGCCAAAAAATCCACTGAGCAGAGAAAACCGCACACTAAGGAAAAGTCAGTGGCATTAGTGCCACACAAAGACTTACACAAAAACCCATGAGAGCTGCATGCTGCCGTATTTACCTTGTATCACTATGCAAAGCTAATAAAATTCACCAGCTAGGGTTCACCATTGTCCAACACCATGTAGCCAACCAAATATCATAGGCCAGGGAGACTGGCCTCACCTAGGCCTCTTTTGGTGTAAGCCGAGAAGTCACATTCATCTCACACACCAGAAGTCCTTCTGTCACTACTACTTCTTCCAACCACTCTGCTCCCCAGTTACATATTCCTCCTTATTCCAGCCAATCCAGGGAGATTTTACCCATAATTAAGCTGTAACACAGTAATTTCAAAGAGACACTGGGAAATGTTCCAAAGAGCTGCACTACAACACTAAATATCCAAGGACTGCCCAGCAGTACACAGTGAGAGGTTCCTTTTCCAGCTTCAGTACTAACAGTTTTCTACTATGAAGCTCAGCAAAACTAGTCTGACAATTCTTGCAGGAATG